GTGCACGTCTGCTGCAGTGTTAATGGCGCTGTTCTGCAGCGCAGCGTACTATAGCCTATTACTTGATGTGTTAACTGGTCGGGTTGCGGGTTAAATATCAACGGGTTGGGTTGGGTTCAGATTTGAATTGAAGATATCATCATCCTAACGGGTTCGACCCGTGCAGGACTCTATCCCACAGTCCAAAAACCTGACTGTTAGGTTAATTGGTTTCTCTAAATTCTCCTTAGTTGTGAGTGTGTGCGTTAATGTAGGGTGACCAAACGTCCGTATTTCCCGGGACATATCCGTATTTCACGTCCTGTCCCGGGCGTCCCGGGTCTTTTTTAGAAAGTGAGGAAATGTCCTGATTTTTTAAATTACCTTAATTGGACCATTAAATTTACAGGCGCTAGGGCACTGAGCACGACGCTGCGTGTGACGTAATCCCTGAGCCGGGTCAGTGCGGGCAGCCCTGTTCTTAATCAGAATATAGATTGCGTGGCTGTCAGTACGCCAACAACATGCAAAAGCGCAAATGTATGTTTAGACAATTTACAAAAGAGTTTCCCCGGTTTCAGACCGGGTCGAGGCAAATGGGAGGCCTTGTGCACATATGTCTCGGTGTCCAATGGAGGTGCAAGGGATCTGAAAAGCCACCTGGACTCCGAAAGTAAAGTCTATTGATATGTTTGCTATTTCGTTTATTGCTGAGGCTGAGTATCATCTAATATTGGGAGTTGAGAGTTATTGTTAACTTTTATTGTTAAGTGAGGAATGTTTAGATGACACATTATTTCTTTCATTGTGGTATTCATTCATTACAGGAATTGTTAAGCATTGTATATATATATATATATATATATATATATATATATATATATATATATATATATATATATATATATATATATATATATGCTCTAAAAACTCCCAGAGCTCAGTTAAACCACCAATTATAAGGTCAAGGCATTGCCTTAAGTACTTATATTAAGTAACTTTAAATTACTCTCACTGTAGGAGAACTTGGTCCAAAACATACAGCATCAAAAAGAAAAGGCTAAAGAGAAGGAACAATAGCAGATACAAACAACCAAATCAGAAAAAACAAACATGTAGGACAAAATAGCCACAGCCAACCATACAAAAAATAACCAACTTTCACTGGCTTCATCCAGTCATAAACCATTCCTTAGTCTTTGTTTTAGCATTTCTTTAATTAAACATAGGTTTCAAATACCCTATTATTAATTACCCATTACCTGTTCCATTTATTTTTAAATCATTGTGCTGAGGTTTGTCATGACATGGAGCACAATTGAAATGTACTTCAAAGATTCCACCCTAAATTACTTGTGCAACTTTCTTGTACAATAAGAGTATGTACAATGTACATTAAGTACATTGTACATACAATGTAAAATAAGTGGACATGTTGCATGTGATGTATAAAGATTGCTGCACAACATGTAGTGGGTTGATTTATTTATATGGGAAACCCAAAAAATGCATGTCCCATACGAGTTAGGACATGGATACCCCTGATTTTAATATTTACACATCTTTACTAACCCTTCAGGGCAACAAATGGAACGGCCAACTCGTTCAGAGAGCATGGCATTGTATTTAACCATCAACAACTGCTATGGTGTTTTTTTTTACCATTTTAAACTTCTATCTAAGATTAAACTAAACAATAGCATTATTCTTAGTCTACCGGTATATTGAACTTCTAATTAAAACTTACTGCTTGTTTCTTAAAGGTATACACATAAAATATCAGAGATTCTTTTTAGAATCCTGATTCCAGGATTGTTCATATAAACCGGAACAGAATGATTGGGTCTCAATGTGAATGTTTTATTTGTCTGGTTCGGTTGTCAAAGACTTCAGGGAATAAGATAAAAAAGCTCCAAAGCTCTGTTTTCCAACACCAATTAATATTAAAGGACAACTAACCCCCATGCCAGAGCTTTGCTATACCAACTATTTGAAAAACAAAAGTGACAAGATTCCTTTACAGAAAATGCCTATACTGACTCAAAGTTCAAATGAGTCTCACTTAAAATAGAAGAAGGTGCCACACAAAGGGTGTTATTGTATGTTCAGGCCAGACGAGGTGTCTCCAGCCAGTGCAGTGGATTCACATAGAATTTTTGTATAAACCATGCGCGGAAGGGCTGGGAAGCGGCCACTGTTCATCATCTTCCCTTACCTCCAGTACAGACCCCGGTCTGTCACTGCCCACTGCCCAGCATCACTGCTTCCTGCCTGGGTAGGAAGGAAGTACCACCAAATCCAACAGTCATCCAGACACAGCTCTGTATGAACCAAATCGGAGTAATTTTTCACTATTTCTGAGGCTTTTCCAAAAATTGATGCATAGAGAACTATTTAAAAGTTAAATTTTATCTGTATTTTTATTGTGAAATGCTGACAGGGAGATCTTGACAGGACATGCTACAGGGTTGTCAGGGGTAATGGCAGGTCCAAAGCGAAGGGTCTGGGAGGCTGGTGATTTACTGAATATTAAACAATCCTTCCAGCCACTAAATACGATTAACATTCCCACTGTTATATTCAATACCAGAACAGGAATGAATTGTGACGTTATGTAATAACTTTATATCAGGAAACAAGCGCAGCACTAACATCTGCTAGGGTGGTGATGTCATCAGCCAAAATTAAAAATGAATACATCTTAAAAACAAATCAGCACGCAGCTGAAGCTCCTCCTATTCGATGACACGGTCCAGGGAATAAACAGTGTGCATCTGAAATTCAGAGCAGTGAACTACCTGGAGGACTCATGGCAATCACCGCGGACACTGTCCTTGGTCTGAATGCACCATTAGACACTGAGGCAAGAATTCAGGAAACGTTCAGTAAATTGATAAAAATAATAACTAAATCATGCAGACAGCACTGTAATACAACCAAAACACAGTTTGTTAGTAAAATAAATACATAAATAACTTGATATTGGGGTTTGTCAGTAAATATGGAAGGACCACACCTGGTCTACATCTACCCTCTTTTGGAATGACAGGGATTTTTTTTTTTTGAGTTGTACATTTTAAGAGATTCTAATGTGAGGTTTTAATTTAAATGTTCAGAGACAGTAGTGTGCTTTAGCTTTCTGTCTGACCACACAGCCTGAGGCCGGAAACCTCCTGTCCAGTTTTTGCCAAAGCACACCTGGAGGTCTCGAGAGTAATTGGGGTCTTCAGCAAACTCTTGTAAAAATCACTTACTTGCATGTAGGATGAAAAACATGAATGAATGAATGCAAAAATCATCGGCATTAGCAAACAGTTATAACCTGAACTTTTGATTTTGATGAGCATTTCTACTTTTTGCATTCGAACATTGCATTTAACACAACTATGACACTGCGACAGAAGGCTGTTAAAAAAAGGGAAAAAAGAAACACAAAGAAACAATAGACAAGCTTTTAACACTGAAAGGCACATTTAAAAAAGCTTGTGGATGGATCCGTTTCCTTTCTTAAATTGCAAGAGTTAAAGAGAAAATTGGATCTATTTTAGACAATTTTGAAAAACATTCCTGAACAAAAAGATATTTCAGGCTGCAGCAAGATATCTTTTGCTTTTATATTTGCCATATTGTTGGTCACTTTGAATATAAAACTAAAATCTTTGTTTGCGAGAGGAAAGTTTGTCCTGCCTTGTTCATGTTCTCATGGTCTTTTGATTTTAATTTTTTGGACATTTCTTGGTCGATACAGATCAACTTTTTAGGTAAGGTTGGACCAGTGAAGTTTGCTTGATTTCCCTAAGGATTATATAGCATACAACTAAAAACAGAGTAATGCTGCTAATTAAATAACATGCATGGAATGTTATTCAATAAATTGAATCATAAAATAAGAAGGAATTTTAAGATCTTCCAGTCGATCCCCCCAACCACTGCGCTCTAATATCTATCCAAACTTTTAAAGTTTCTGACCTTGTATTACTATTACTAGATAATAATAAAAAGTTGTTTGACTCTGATCTTTGGCCTATTCATTTGTAAATTGCTAATCTGTATTAATATCCAGTGTGGTTGTGTCTTTCTGTTTAGGCCAAACTTTGGACCATTTAAGCATTTTCCCATCTATAAACAAAAGAAATCTCTGGCCAAATATTAAAGGAATAAATTCCTTTAATCCCACACTCAAAAAGGATTAACAGTAAAAAGAAAACCAGCAGGTCATCTTGTTAGGAGAAGCATCAATTTGCAGCTTTTACCAAAAGCCAGCTACTCCGGCAATTAAAATTAAAATTAATCTTATTAACGGTCACCTAAAGTGGCGCAGGAACTGGCTGAGCATATACCTTCTTTCAATGGTCTGAAATGTCAGGTTGATGACTCATTTTGAAGTAGCTGTGAGCATGGAGGAAAATCAAACTCACCACCTCGTCTTATTAAACATCACACAGAGAAATGTTGTGGTGTATACACATTTTTTACTGAGGGAGACTGACTGGTTCATTTGAATCAAAGGCATTTGTGTGCTTTTTAATTGCCTGGATGTTTAAGCTAATTCATCCAAATACAATCTGGCTTAGAACCATCTAAATGCTAGTTTAATAAAAGCCCAGGTGTTGGTCACGAATGAATCCCTTTAGATAGCCCAGTGAAGAAGCATTTGTCTTGTACTTGCCAATCAGAGGGACTTGTTGCAGACCAATGCGTAGTTTCATTGTGTTATCAGTGTGCCCTGTCTGGGCAGTGCAGCTCCCTGTGCTTTATAAGAGCTAGAAAAAAAGACCTACAGCTTCAGGCTGTCAGTGTGGCTCTGAGAGCAGCAGCAGCAAAACTATTCAGACCATTTCTTTGGTCCAGTGCTTTAGACATTCAAGTACACCAGTGACCCTGCATTTAGAGATAAATATGCAATTTTCCTGTAATGAGATATGGTTTTGTAGTGTGTAGTCCAGGATCACTTGTGTACCCTAGTTAGGATTAAAACAGTTATATGTGCTGAACCCTATGATGAAAATCCATAACCTTACCCTTTCCTGAACAAAGTCCATGATATTTTTGAAGTCTAGGTCATCGTAGTAGTTCACTATGCCCCTTCTGATGTTCTTGTTCAGCAACTTTACAGTCTATTGGAAAAAAAGAAACAAAAAATGTTGGTATTTGAAAGTCATATAAGTGAAGTAGACAATCTTCAGTCAGGACAGCCAAATGTCAATTCATGAAGGTGACTTATCACCCCCCCCCCAGCTGAAAAATGTCAATGTGACACTTTAAAGGCTCACATCTGTTGGTCACAATCTGCTGAGGAAAAGGGAGCTGGAGTGGTCGTATTAAACACAGCAAGCTTACAATCTGTTAAACATTGAACTGCACTCTGAACCCTCATCATCAAGCGCTATGTTTTCACATGGTTAAATAGAATTAATGACTCAAATTTTGCGCAGATATGCCTAATGTATCAATAAACAGTAAAGTTAAAGGCGTCTATGCAAATATTGCTTTAACAGATGTATCTTAAAAAACATAAAATTTACTGAAAAAGATCAAATAATTTGTAAGAATATAAGTAAAATACCATGTGTAAATGGAATCACTAAAATATATGGGATTTTTCTAAATAAATCGTCAGAGACTTATTTAGGGTTTTTATTTAGACTTTATTAACTTAAGTTTTTATTTAAACTTTTTTTTTTGGTGATTGGGGCTCAGGGCTAAAGAAAACCCAACATTTTGTTACTTACCAAAAATGTTATATTAGAATATTGCACAAGTTAGTTCACCAGCACAGCCTGGAGGAAATCACCCCACTCTAATTAGTGCCCTTGATGGCTCAAAAATCCAATTTTCCTCTTTATAATACGCCATGGATTCTTTTCAGTGCTAAGGGGCAGGTGAGTTTTCATGCATTGGCACTGCTGGCCATGTGGACAGGTGCCCAACCAGCTTGAAAATAAAAACCTATCTTTCCATAAAGCTTATCAGCAAATGGATGCACCAAATGCTTGAACATTTCCAGCTGTGTTGAATGTGGCCTTGACATTACACATCATAGGACAGAGTTGAGGTGAGTCTTCACATTGGATCTTAAGCAATTTGTATTCTGTCCCCTTTCCTCTTCTCAGTCAGCTACCTCATTATTTTGTTGGTTGTGTTTTTCTCTTCAGGCAGAAGCTTCTGAATTCAGAGTCATTATGAATCTTAGCCAGTGTCTAACATCAAATCCTACCAGTGTTTTTTCCAGTAATAAATGTTCCCTTTTTGGTTTCTCAATTAAGTATCTGTACTTCTTACACAATGAACTATCCAATAAAGGAAATATGTTTTCTCCATCTCATACACAGTGGATTGTTTATTGATGCAGTTGTTTTTGGTTGTGGGGAAAGCCATCCTAATCATTGGCAGGAAAACTAAAGGATGTATTGGACCGGCTGGACAATAAAGAACACAGATTATAAAACAAAACAAGAGAAACTAATCTAGGAGAGGATATTACAATGAAAAAGACAATACAACAATGTCAAGAAGCAAATAACACTGATAACATACAACTGATAATCATTTTGGTTTGTATAAAGTTTGTATGTTATCTGAATCTCTTCTACATGTTGAAGTTTGACCAACTTATTCCTGTTCATTTGATCTGCGGCTTTAGAAATATTTCAGACTAAGGCTTCCTCAGTAAATCTTCAAAGCCTACCTGGTTCCGAAACGTCAGAGCCAATATTCCTCCCAGCAGCTCCAGTATCAGGCAAACTACCAGGGTGTACATAAACTGTGACACAGAAACAACAACAAAAAAAAACAATTAGACATGCTATTATTAATTTAGATGCAATAAATCACGTTCCTTCCTCTTTTTTTAGAGATTCAATATAATCCAATTGTTTTTTTAAATGGGATGGTCAGTTCCAGAGGTACAGAATGTCACATAATCTACATTAGTGTTCATAGGTTTGTAAATGGCTTAGGATTCCAAATGTTTCTATTAAATATAAGGACTTTGTTTTATACAGTATAGCATAAAGTCAGAGAGAAAGCTGGTACACTGTGATGTTGTTCAACTTTAATCATATTTTGATGAAAAATAAAAATATGATTCTAAATCAAACATGGTAACAAAAATATCACCCCATTTCTTTTCACAACATCACTTCAGTTCAGTGGAGAAAGAAAACTCTGCCAGGAGATCATGTTAATTTAATTAGCATTATCCTCTGTTGATTAGCATTAAAACAGAAAAGTTTAACTTTCATTTACTGATTTTCTGTTCAAATGTTTTTTTCTTTAATATTTAAATAACACAGTGACTCATATCCTGCTTCAAATCTGTATCCAAGGCATAGACAGGACCAGGTGATACTTTACTTATTCTGTCTAAGAAGTATATAAGGTCACTGCTTACTTATAAAAGTAAGAAGCTTAAATAAATTTGATATTTATTCTTATGATATAAAGTTATGCAATGCCTTGGGGAAAACCAACAGCTCAGGTTGATAGGACTTAAAAGCATCGCTAACACCAGTAGCACTATTAGCAAGGACATGTTCTTACTTATCTATCACTTTCGCATGAATAATTTTGTTTTTAAATTATTTCTACGATTGGTTTTGCAGTAATGGTCACTTTAATCATTCTTCTCCCATTTCTAATCTTCTTTTAGGTACAAAGACATTTTACGGGTGCTCCAGACTTGACGTCTGTCTTGGGCAATCACTTAGCTTTTATCCAAACCTAGCTTTTCACTGAATAACTAAATTTGTTGTTACAGAGAAGCAATTGCCCATTTTGTTAGGCTTCATAATTAGATATTATGCAACTCTGCAATTATAAATGACATTTTTATTTTCTGACTACAGGACTATCGGTCACTACACATGCAGCTGACATGTTTATATCCAGAGAACAATGGTTTGTTTGTTTTAGTTATGGAAAACGTATGTACTAGACTTAATATGGATGTATAGACTGCCACTGTATATATATATATATATATATATATATATATATATATATATATATATATATATATATATATATATATATATATATATATATATATATATATATATATATATATATATATATATATATATTTGTTTTATATTTATTTATTTATTTTTTTTAAAGAAGAAAGCAAATTCGCTGCAGGCGCTGGTACAGTGTTCAGATGCTACAGTCTAAGTAATATCTGTGAAGTTTTCTTCATGGATGTTATGAGGAACTTATGACTCCCTCTTTTTCCCATTTCTGACCGGTGGAGCACTTCTCCAGTGAGCCCTTTTCTTCCCAGAAACAACTTCCTCTTTAATGTGGCTATTGAATCAATGGTATCTTCAATTCTGAAACATCAGACATCCACCAGCTCATCAAAATATTTAGGGTCTGTCTGGTTCACTGTATGCATGTGTAGAGATGTTATCCTGGTCACATGATTATGCTACGGTAAACATACACAGAAAGGCTATATTTACAAAGTAACAAATACTGTGCAGGCACGACATATTTCATAAAAATGCAACCAGAGTGAGTTACTGGCCTATAAATTCAAAGCTACAGTAAATAATTTTCTGTGATATATAATGATCGACCGCTTTAAATAGTATTGAATAGTATAAATAGTATTTTATTAGTTTGTGTAGGATATAGATTTTATATAGGCCTAGGATAGCGAATATGTGTTATTTGTTTCACATGCCGCGTTTTATTGAGCTGCTTAGCACAGTAATGTAAACAAAAATGTAATTGTAGTTGTTTAGTTTGATACAGAGACTGTGTCTGTTGCAAATATAGCAAATGTTTTCCCCAATTAGAGAGTCCAGGTCTTGATTGAGGCAGAGGCGTTGTTAGACGAGTGTGAGGTTGCAGACGAAAGCACGGTGGTGGGCCTTATCAGAGATGACAACGACCAGGACTACAGGAGGTGGAGCAGCTGGTGGGATGGAACAAAGATAACAGCCTGATCCTGAACGTGGAGAAGATGAAGGAGATCATCCTTGACTTCAGGAAGAATCGGCCTAACCACGTTCCTCAGCTCAGCTATAGAGGTGATCAGCAGCACCAAATTCCTAGGGGTGCACATCAAAGACACCCTCACCTGGACTGTAAACACCACCCCAATGATCAAAAGGGCACAGAAGCGCATGTACTTCCTGCACAGGATGAGGAGAGCCCACCTGCCCCCAACCATCCTCACAGCCCTCTACAGAAGCACCATAGAGAGCGCTCTGACCAGCTGTCTGAGTGTGTGGTGTGGAGGCTGCAGCGCCTCAGACAGGAAGAAAAGTCAGAAGAGTGGTGAAAACAGCAGAGAGGATCATCGGGGCTCCACTTCCCTCCATTAAAGACATTTCATCCCAGTGCTGTGTGTCTGCCCCACCATGGACTGTTCTCTTTGCTGCCCTCTGGGAAGAGGCTTCGCAACATTCAATGCAGGTCCAGCAGATACTGAAACAGTTTCTTTGTCACTGCCATCAGACTGCTGAACTGTTGGGGGGAAAAAAACTAAATCATGTCACAGACTCTGCATCACACTGACAACACCAAACCAAAAACAGTGCATAATTGCGCCATATATAATAATGTTCTGAACTTCCATATCAGTGCGTTTTTTGCACAATGTTTTTTCTTCCACAGTGTTTACATTTCACCACTCTCGCACTTTATGAAATGGAAATGTTTATTTACCGTCTGAAGAGCTGTAGTAAACAAACTTTTGCTCTGTATACACCTTGTCTATACAAAATGACAGTAAAAGTTGTTCAACTCTAAGTTTAAGGGAAGATGAAGCCAAGGAGAGGAGTAACAGAGGTATGTATCCAGAAAATTACTATGGTGTTTTATTAAATGATATGCACAATATGAATTAATATAAATCAGCATGTTTTATTTACAGCTCTGAGTGGACCATGGTTACTTTAGTCTGTAGTTGGAGGAGTAATATCCAAGTAACTACTACATTTCTGTCAGTAAATCCCTAAAATTATTTTACAATGTAGCTTAAAAAATGTCAAATAATGTAACTATATACTTTTAAAACTGTAGCATCTAAATCATGGATCATCCTAAATTTAAAAAGAAGAAAACTTGAAATGAAAAGAAACTTTGATTTGTTTCAGAATTTTTTATTTTTGGCCTTTGGATAGATTCATACAACAATTGGATGTATTGGTGGACTGTGGTGACAGAAAGGATGCAAGGACACAGAGAGAATCTTTATATCTAAGGTACATTCAGTTTGAGACAAGGATGTGTTGTCCTCCATGGTTGACTGATGTAGAGGCAGATTTCTGTCCCTTGGGACTTCCAAGTAAAAACAGTGTCTCTGTCGAGCATCACCAGGGCACCAAGCCCAGAGAAAATTAGCCAGGCATCAGTACCCCCGGGAGTGAGCGAAGTTTCAGTGAAAGTCACACACATCCTGGTTTCTTCAGTTTAGTGAAATTGGTTTTGTTTTCATCCATCTTATTTCAAAAGGACCCCATAATGCAAAGCAATATTGAGGGGATAGGTATGCGGAAGAATGACAGCCACATAAATGTCTGATGTCAAAACGATGCCATGCTGGTTTATTAAAGTTCCCCAGATAAGTCGGGATCTAAGTAACTGACTGATCCCCAACCACTACGATTCAGTAAAAAAAGAAAAAAGAAAATCTCAGAGAATACAGAGTCCTCTCAATGTGTGAGTAGCGTGGTTCAAAGTCTGAGGAATGGTCAATGGAGAGATGAAAAATAGCTGCTTTAATAAACACAAAAACAATAGAACTAAAGTATAAGAACTAAAGTATAAGAGATACAATAAAGTGGCACCTTGATACTATTGCTGAAGTATAAGTGGTATTATTTAATCTGACATGTATACTGTGGTAGCTGAAGTTAAGAATATGGGCTTTCTGATAGTAAATCTCTGAGTACCTGGAACCAAGCACCTGTAGTTGTTTGTGAGAGCGCACTTAGGCATGTAAATTTTATCCAAAGGAAAAATGCTCAATGGTGGTTGTGAAGAGCCAAAGACCCGACCCCCCAGAGAACAGAGGCAAGCGCTGGAGGACCCAAAACCCAGACGCCCAAAGGGATTCCCCCAGCCACCGCAATGCTGGAGTCCCTAGGAACCGCGGGGACGAGCCTGCGTGCTCCGGCGGCAGCCAGCCACCCCAAAGTGCAACCGGCCATGGGCCACCAGCAGGAGCCCCGACCAGGCCCCACAAAGCAGCCGCCAGGGATAAGCCAGCACCTGCCTGGGCATCCATCCCCAAACACCGAGCACCACTGAGCCAAAGCGCCAGCCAACGGAGGGGGGCAGGACGGGGGGAATGGGCTCCGCACTTAGCGGAGATTTGAGATATTCTTGGGAGAGGGAGCAGTTCAGACCTGAACCTGACAAGTGAAAAAACATGTAAAAAAATAATAATACACAGTCTTAATCACGCCTTCCCACCCTAGTGCCCCCACTCGCAACACACAGACTCTTCAAAAAAAAAAATAATAAAAAAAAAAAACGGCGTACACACATTCACACAACACACATCCGATAACCCTAGCACCAAGGACCCAGGGTTAACTACATTCTTATTGAAACTCTAATACAAATACCATATTTGTAATTTTATCAGTTATCAACCTCTAAAAGCAGTTAGCTGAGATGGGTTTTGTTTACAGGTATGGGGAAAATACAGGTGCTGGTCATAAAATTAGAATATCATGAAAAAGTAGATTGATTTCAGTAATTCCATTTAAAAAGTGAAACTTGTATATTATATTCATACATTACATA